TTGACAAAAAATAAAAGAATACATTTGATAAAAGTTTAGCAAACCCGGTGTCTCTTAAGGACTTTAATGCCTCCATTGTCCCTCTAACCAAAGAAGACACTTCTAAAATATCTTGATCCTTTATTTTGAAAATGCTTTGACAATACGTTCATGAGGTGTAAAATTTCATATATCACATGTAAGTAAAACACGATATTAAGTGTCTTGAAATATCTTAAGATACTAAATGCTTGATTTCGGTTACTTAAAGCGGATCTTTCATCTTCGACATAAGCAAGAACATTAAGAACCTCCGGAAATAAGTTCATCAAACTTGTGATTGTTTTGAAATATGAACACCATCTTGTATCTCCCGCTCGAACAAGAGAGCTCTCTTGATTTAACCATCTTCTGGTTTCAAGTTCACCATTTCCAATTGACTTTTGCACCCTTTCTCAAAGAAGTCTTCAACAACATCATGCTTATTTTCTACACCTACAATAATTAACTGAAGTTGGTGTGAAAAACATTGCGCATAATGCACTGGATCATTATCTTGTAAATTCAAAGCTTTTAGAGTGTTGAATGCACATCGCATATTGCTTGCCTCATCGTTACCTTGTCCTCTTACATGATAAAAAATATTAAACATTAAAGCGAATAATATTCAATTAAAATTCATAATAAGGAAACAAAGTTTTGCTTACCTAGGACATACTCAACTTGTTAAGGTTAAAAACTTCATCTATGACCGCTTTAAGAGTCAAAGAGGATGTATCATTCACATGCACATCTCCAATGAATCTTTCCTTCACCATTCCAAAGTTGTCAACATATCTCAAAACTATGGTCATGTTTTATTTTTTTGATACATCATTAGATTCATCAACCAATAAAGCAAACACATCATTACCAATTTCTTTGCAAATACTTAAAGTTATCTCTGTTGAAAAGCAATCAACAATTTGATTTTGAGTCATCGGGCACGTCACTTGATTATTTTGAGGAGCATTTTCTAAGGTAACATTGTGAATGACTTGATTATGATCTCCCATGAAAGATAATTACTCAAAGAAAAGCTCTCTATTAAGGGAGTCACTCAACTCATCATGACCCCGAAATGGTAAACCATTTTTCAATAAAAAATTACAACACCAAATTGAAGCACCTAAACGAAGTTTACTGTTACTCTCCATAATTTTGGTTTGCTTCTTGAAGGCTGCACTAATAGATTGTTTTTCTTTCAATAAAAAATTACAGTTTTCTATTGGTTTGTGATGAAAACTATCAATACCACCCATATGATCTCTCAATGAACTTTTTCTATTCCAAGTATCAAAACCATGTGAAACAAATGCATCTATCCCTTTTATTTGTCCCACCATGAATCCACATACATAGCAAAATAAACAAAATGTTTTGTTCTCTTTTATGTTATACTCTAACCAATCAAAGTCATCAAACCACTTAACAACAAAACACCTTTCTTTTGTTTGTTGTAATATTTATTAAGTTGTAACCACTATACTCTTTTTTTGTAAGTTGTAACCAATCAAACGTATGACCCCTTGGTTGACAAGGTCCTTGAAGCAAATATGCCCTCCTTATTTCATCTCTTTAATTTGGATTTGTAAGTTGTAATCTTTGGTCTAACACTCAGGTCTCTTGGAAGATCTTTCAATTCAACACTTGTAATTGGAGTAGTTGTAGGTTGTGGATTTACATTAAAAACCGAAGGGAATGATTGATTTTCACATGGTGTTTTAGAGGATCCTTCAAAACATAAATCATTGGAGCATTGTAACATCCCCCTCTGGCACGTATCACAATATTGTCCACTTTGGGTCACTCGGCACGAGGACTTCCCAGGGGGTCACCCATCCCAGTACTACTCCTGCCCGAGCACGCTTAACTGCAGAGTTCTTATGAGATCTGCTGCCCTCACGGCTTTAAAACGCGTTGTGATAGGGAAGGTATTCACACCCCTTATAAGGAGATGCTTAGTTCTCCTTCCCAGTCGATGTGGGATCAGGTGCAACCCCACCTTCTTTTGGAGGATTCTCCAATACTTGATTATTGATGTTTGTTCTTCCAAAAAAAGGACTCAATTTAATCCTAACAATTCAATATCAAACAAGTAAGCAATCCATTTATCTAACAAGCTAAGTATCTAACAACAATTCGACAACTAGTTTTAAGGTAAACAATTACCAATTTCACCTAAACAATAAGAAATTTCAAGAAAAAACAACTAATTTGAATAATTTCATAAACCTAAAAATATAAATACTTGTTGGGTTATTGTCACTGTAGCCCAACAATGTTTAGTATATTTGTTTAAAAGGTCCCTCGTGACTTTTTTTGCCTTTTAGGGGTACGAACTTGTGTTTTACCATTTTAAAAGGTACCTTTACCCATTTTAGGAGGTAACCCTGCCTTGTCATCTGCCAACTAAGTTGGTGAGTCAACACAGACTCGCTACTAATTTGACTCGATGCCACATGTGTAATGATTAATAATCATGTATTAATGACCGTCATTTATTTCCACCAACACCCCCAAACAACCTGTTTCATCACCATCACCATGATACCACTGCTTTTTAAGATCAGATCAAGAATAAATTGCAGTTGGACTTCAATAAGAATCAATTAGTTGAGAAGCTCCGAAGATTGAAAAAGAAGTACCGAAATGTTCTCAGTAACATCAGTTCTGACAAAGAATATGTCTTCAAGAGCGCCCATATCACTTTTGAGATATCATCTAAGATATGGAGCTCCGAAGTTGCTCTCGTATCCACTCCTGCAACTACAGATGTTGCCAGATTCGAAGACTTGGAACCCAAATGCATACCCGTTTATCAGTACCTCACATAGCTTGACTAGCAAATTACAAAAATACCCTTCATTTCTATCATCTACTACAGGAAACGGGTGTTACGGGGACCCGTTTCTTCACAGGTCCTCATCTGGGTCTAAGAAGTATTTGATTATCGAAACTGCAAAAAGATTGATGATGGGTCCCAAAAGAAAATTAAAGGTTCAAACTTTATGGATTTAACAAATACTACTACTAAGGGTATGGACTTGAATACTATTCAGATTTTGTCTGATAATGAAGACGATTCAAGAAAATACGATCAAACTGTGTTTCCATGGCTTAAATCTGAACAGGGTATCTGTAAAAATGGTGATGTAGCAAAGGAGAAAGATAATAAAAAGCCATTAGGGTTTCCAGTTTTTGGGAACTTTTGTAAAAATGATGCTTCTTCTGTTGTTTCGACCTCTGCATCAATTAAAAAAGAGGGATCGACATCAATGTAGATTGGGGTGATGTGATTGATGAGAAACAGATTGACGGGGAGAAACAGATGCAGGAATCAAGAATTTCAAGAATCATTTTGATTTGAATTCGTCTGTAACAGAAGATGATGATCTGTTAGTTACAGTTACAACAGATTGAAGGGGTTTGCTCGATGGATTGCAAGAAGAAATGAACTCCCAAATGGAGATATGATGAATGATGATGTAGATGGTGTTCTTCAATCTGTCAAGCCAATTTACCGGGTGGATATCCGTATATTTAATGGGTCTTCTCAGTTGGGTCGAATCTCATCCACCATGTTTCAAGTTAACCAATTATTTAGGTCAATCAATTACACCCATGTGGCAACCGACTTGGACTATTTTTAATATGTGTGGCATTACGTGACATTTTACAACTAATGATTAGGAAGGGGTTAACCGGGTGACCCCTTCACATTTTTTATCATGACCTTTTAAAACGGTAAAACACAAGTTCGTACCCCTAAAAGGCAAAAAAAAGTCACGATGAACCTTTTAAACCAATATACTAAACATTGTTGTGCTATAGTGACAATAACCCATACTTGTTTCATTGTAGCTTGGAAAAGAGTCAAGCGAAATCGAAATAGCTTGGAGAGTTGAAGAAAAATCGTTCACTTGTCGTTCACTTGAAGAGTTGGAGCAAAAATGGGCTTTTTTTTTGCCTTCCTGTTTGCCAGGAGTGGTGCCACTATGGTGCCCATAGTGGCACCGGCAACCTCCGTTTTTTACGGACAGTGTAAAAAATTTTGAATTTTTTGTTTTTCTACTATTGTGTCACTATGTAAAAAAAAATATGCCAATGGCAAAACCTACTACGAAATGTTGCGTCCGACCCTGTTGTTTTCGTCGCAACTTCACAAAGAGCAAAGGAGTTTTTTCGTTTCTTTCCAGCTTTGTGCTTCAGGCCTTCAGCCGACCATATAGACAATGTGAATTGGGTATTGAGTGTAATTGGGTTTAATGAATATAACTTGGTGGGCTAATGTTTTATTTTTTTGGGCTAATTTTTTTTTATTGTTTTGGGCTAGTATTAGTTATACCATGTCATATTTTTTTTACCTCTAAAATAATACTGACAATTATTTTTATAGATGTTGCACTTATATACAAGAAAAATTACACTTACGGGATAAATTGGAATAATGGCCCGGAACCCCCGGGCTCCACATGTGTCCGCCAATGGGAAGAAGTAACATTGGTTTTTTTACAAAAAAAAAAAAAGAAAAAGAAAAAAAAAAAGTTTTAGTTCAAGAAGAGTCGACATTCGATCACATTACAACTCAAGTCTGAAAAAGTTTATCAAAGAAACATTTCAATTGAGATATTAACATATAAGGTGTTCGATAGATCAGATGATATAAAAATACGAGATGTGTTAAAATCCTGTATACAAACATGATTTTTAAAATTTCAAAGTAAAGTGCCATCAAACTTGCAATGTTGGTCCATTCCACACAGTTTATCAAAATCCCACAGTTTACATAACAGCCCATAATATTAACTAACTTCGAACAAAGCCCATAATATAAATTATAGGGAGTAGAATAACAATAAATACTTTGATAATTTCATGATCGTGTGAAAATGCATCTTCTTCTCTTTTTGGTTGGATAAATCATAATACTACATTACAACCTTACAACAAACATAAAACATGTAACAAATATAAAACAACACCAAAACAAAATATTTGATTATAAATACCTCACAAAAACACATTGTAAATTTACAATTCACAATTTAATGTGCTATATCATAATTCATAAACTCCCTTACACCAAATCTCCTCCGTAACACTATATAAAACCCAATCAGTCACACTCCCCCTACCTTTAAAAACACAAAACCCCAAATAAAATCAGGGTCCGAATAATATTTTGCTCTGATACCATGTTAAAAATATATATATATCTATAAAACTCTAAGTAGTTTTCCTCTTCTTTTGCATTCTTTGTATCTTTTTCCATTTAAGGTAAATTTGATAAGACAAGCCACTAAACACCATGAACACACTCCCCCATTGCTTTTGAGACAATGGATTCCCACTAAGAACCGATGACACCACAATGCTCACGAATTTTCGGGTTGTTGTGATTGTTGTGTTTGTTAAAGACCCAAATCGGCTAATTGTAAAAAATATAAAATTTTGGCCAACCGCACCACATAGACAATAGTATAAAATGTCCCATGCGGCCTCTGGGTGGTGCTTGCAAAAATTAATGGCTTGGTAGCCACTCGCGTGGGGCCACCCAAACATGAAAACTAAGTTGTAGATTGTTCCCCATAAGTTCATTCCTAACATTATGTCCCATGCACTTGTCTTTGGATACCTGACAACACAGTACAGTTAGGATTTAGGGTTTAGGACAGTTTCAGTTTGATAACACGGTACAATTTAGGGTTTAGGGTTCCGGGCAGTTTCAGTTTGACAGTATAGTAGAATTTAGGGTTTAGGGCATTTTCAGTTTCAGTTTGACAACACAGTACAATTTAGGGTTTAGGGTTTAGGACAGTTTCAGTTTCAGTTTGGGTTTAGGTTACATCGAGTTTTTTCTTTTTGTTCGACAAGTTTTTGTAATTTTTAGAGTAAATTAAAGAAAATGGAATGTATGTGAGGTTTTTATCGTGTTTAGTCCGAAATTGGAATACTTTCCTTTTTGGTCCTTATTTTTAGGTTTTATGTCGATTTTGGTCCGGTCCTTAGGACTTTCTACTTTTGGTCCTCGTTTAAAGGTTTCATGTCGGTTTTGGTTAGGAAACCTTGAAAGTTGAAATAAGGACTAAAACTAAAAAAGATTTTGGTTTTGGACTAAACACAATAAAAATAAAAATAATGGGGGCATTTTTGTAATTTACTCATTTTTATATTATATTTATATTTAGTAATTAGTATGATGAAAAAATTTAAAATTTTCCAAAAGAATATTATATACTTTTTATATATCCTACAACCAAAAACTACATATATAACATGAAAAATGGAATGGATATTAGAGTAAATTACAAATTTAGTCCTTGTGGTATACTTGACATGACGGGTTTAGTCCAAGTTCTGCTTTTTGATACAAATTTGCCTTTTGTTGTTAAATTTTCTTCCATATATGCCTCCATGGTCGTTAAACAAGTCATTAAATCTAGCGACTCGACTGTTGGTTTTTCAAAATGACCGATTTACCCTTCGGTCATCCCGAAAAAACAATAAACCACAAGGACCAAATTTGTAATTTAGTCATAGTTCTATTATCATACTTTCATAACTAACCTTGTTGAGATTGAATCTTGTGTAGCATTTGTGAAACCATCAAAAGCCAAATTTAAAAAACATAATCCGTATCCAAGTGGGGCATTAGGATGAGCCAACTTGCTTATAGTCTTTGAGCTAGTCTGAAAGAATCAAGAAACAATTAGCAAAAATGGAATTAATATTAACAACTTAACAAGAAAATAAAGTTCAACATATAATTTATAAAAAGATAATATATTCACCTTTGCAAGAGCAAAAGCAGATACCCCACCAGCAACAAGAATTGTACAAAGATACTCAGGAAAACTGTATCTAATGCCATACACTAGTGTTCCCATTAGCATCACTGCATAATGATAAATTAAAAAGATAAGTATTTTGGGAACATTGTTATTAGAGTCAAATTACTAATTTAGTTTGGATTAAATGCAAGTAATCACCTGGAATCATCTTTGAGGATTTTGCAAGTACCTACAATAGATAACCAATGTAATCATTACTTGTTCGATCAAAATTCAAACATCATGTGTTGATTTGATGAAAACTTTAGAAATCTTGATTGAAAATAGAAAGATAAATGATGGGAGATTAACAGAAAGAGAAAAGGTTTGATTATTTGATAGATGGATAAAGCTTGAAGATACCTGAGCAGGATAACTGATGTATTTTAGAGCTTCAATTCCCATAGCTGGGCCAATTGTATTTGTAATGCCAGCACTCCAGTAACTCCACCATGGAGCATGACCAGTGCTACCACTGGGCCACAGCTTTATCACTAATCAGTCACCACAAAATGTTAATCAATCCCTAATTCCCAATTATCATTTACATTCTAAATGACCAAAGATAACCAGAGCTTAAAAGGTGAAATGCTTACTCATGAATGACCATATGAAACAAACAGCACTTTGTGCTAAATTCAAGAATGCTAGATGTTCGAACCTCTCATTCTCTGGTCCAAATCGCTTAGTAGACCTGAAAACCAATAACAAAGACTCATAACAACCTTTCATATATGTCCATTACAATGTAATCAATTGGAAATACCAAATTCCTCAAATTGGAGTTCCATGTATGCTAGTAACATTTGGTAAGGTTTAAGAAAATGCTCAATTTTTAGGTTAATGAAAACTTAAGAATGATATTTAAGGGTACAGTTGTTTATTTATTTGCAGTAATCATAAATCATAGTCTTAAACTGAAATCAGAATGTGGAGTTATTGTTATGCTCTATCAAGTTGTTAGAACGGATCACGAATCACGATTCATAATCACAACTGATGTGTGAAAACGCGACACAATCATCAATATAAGTAATCACTTTACTTTCTCAAATGCGAACTTAAAGCAGCCAATAAATATGCAATATTTTCAAAATTCTCAATAACTAATAACGATTTAGCGTAAACCTTCACACAACTATTTGCCATAAATCCAAAATTCGAAGCTTTTATTGGAAGGATGCATATGAAGACAATTAAATGATCATTACAGAGTTTAAGAGATAAAATGAAAAACAGAACGGTATAAATTAGTTCAGGAAAAAGCCTTACACAGTCTCTTGAAGAACGCCTTGGTATATATAAGCTGTCCAAATACCGGCGACGCAAAATGCGAGCTCCAAAACACGGCGGAGACCGACGCCGTGTGACTCCATCGGTGCCGGAATCTTGGTATCAGGCGTAAATCGTTGATTCCCCGGAATCAGAGATCGGACAAAACGCTTCCGAATGGTGCGGTTGTAGAAAGGAGTCTTCGAGTAGAGTATATATATTCTAGAATCCACGTTGGTTTTTCATACGTGGAGGCTTTTGATTGGATACGTGACTAAATACTATCACCCTATTGGTTAATGGATACACGTAAGACAATATAAACTTTTCAAATAATTTGCAGTAACACCCTTATGGTTTTACAGATTTCATAAATATAATCCCTAAACTTTAAATGTTTAGATTATCAGTCCGTTCTTACTTCTTAGTTCTTATTAAGAATTTTCAATTTTGTAACTATGATTGTTCCATGTGAAATGAAATCGATAAGTTTCTCATTCTATAACCATGATTGTTTCATGTGAATTGAAACTAACACTTTAATCATAACTAAATTACGTCGATATAAAAATTAATATTGGATTAGAAAGGTGAAGATACAAACCAAACTAACAATTTGGCACTGAAATAATTACAAGGGATTTGTTACATGATTTGATTAGAAAGTATTCTTAGAATGAGTTTGTAAATAGGAATCAGAAACTAAATTTTAGTTGACTTTCGTGGTTTGTGAAACCCAATTATGACTATCTATTTGAAAATGTTTATTTTTTAGGCTAGTTATCTCTAGTGTTTTATATATAATATGAAGTTGTTCAAAAAAATAAAAAGACATTGTCTTAACCCCGGTTGTGGTTGTTTTGGAATGGGTCAAAACAAATCGTGTTGCTTTTTGTTCATTTGGTATCATTTCGTTACACTTTTGATCATCAATGTAGAGGAATAGAGTTGTGAGTCTAATATACTTGTGGGTTTTTGACGATACAATCCAAGTTACGTGGGCTTCGACTTCGTATACTTGTATATGTCTTTTATGTTCTCAGTAAAAAAGTACGGTGTATCTTATAAACCCTAATTATTCTAAATTCGATAGAAACTTTTTTAAATTGTATGCAGATGTAGTACGATTACCCGACTGTATGAACCACGTTAATTGTTATATTCCTTAATTTTTCGTCATATCTTTAGGTGTGATAGTGTTTGTCATTCAAAACAGTAAGAGTAGGTTAAATTACCATTTCCTTTTACTTTTATTATTATTGTTTTTGTTGTTTTTATTATTATTATTATTATTATATCGATAAACTTCAAAACAAAGCTATATAACAAATTTAATTTGGTTTGAAATTATGACATACATCACCGCTTCAAACCGACTCGTTATCATTTTTAGGATATAATGTTGCTAAAATGTGAACTCAATCATGTTACCATTAAACATGTTATCTAATTTCGTGAACTAACAATTAGGTGCTTTTTTAGCGAAAACGTATGTACTATGCGGACCATATCTGCAATCTTCTACAGCAAAAGAAGTGGACTAAACGTCTGTAGTCTGCAATAAGAAGTTTGTTTTTTAACTTCTGCATGGTGCAGCAATAAACTAAAATTTAAATAAACCAATTTTACGTACTTAAAATAGTTTTTTAACACCGAAATTTTAATAATTCTAGTGTTACAATATTGAAATAAAATTCATACAACCAAATTAGTCCTACAATAACAATTTTAGTCGTACTTAACAATTTCATTTAAAATAATTCATTCCATATTTTGCATCAACTGCTCAAGAATTTTATCCCGTAACCAAGTCATATGTTCACGGTCCGTTGCAGTAGCATATGTTGGAACCTCATCTTCATCATCATCAACTCATCAACATGCACATTGTTATTTCGAAACGAGACATTGGGTTCATCATATCGTGAAAAATATTCACCACTCAGTCCATCTTTTCTTATAAATTTATGAAACGTGAAACATGCAATGACAATGTTTCTTATTGTAACCGATGGTAGTGGTGTCATTATCTTCAATATAGGGAATCATGTTGGTAATTTTAATAACCAAAACATAAACGCAGAAGCATAAATTTGAGATCTTAATCTCGAATCTGATTACAATAAATCTTAAACAAGAAATAACGATTATTACATATCTGATTCCATTGAGTTTTCCGGATCTGGTGAGTATGGTTGGGTTTTCCACTTGATCTCAATAACTCTCTCTTAAATCCATGAGCAAACTCTAAACAATTTATGTGTGTATTTTGTATATTGTAAATCTGCTTCTCATCACGTATTTATATAGATGGAGATATAACCGAATGTGAGAGATATTAGGGATTTATGAGATCTTGAGTGAAATCGGGAACTCAACCTACAAGATAAACATGGCAAGTGTATATCTTAATTTATTAATAAAATCGATCCATCAACAACTTTATATAATTTCCATAATAATCTGAAATTAATGATAACATATTTATATACATTTATCAATGGTATATTTCGTATATTGTAAATCTGCTTCTCATCACGTATTTATATAGATTGAGATATAACCGAATGTGAGAGATATTAGGGATTTATGAGATCTTGAGTCAAATCGGGAACTCAACCCACAAGATAAACATGCTAAGTGTATATCTTCATTTATTAATAAAATCAGTCCATCGAAAATTTTATATAATTTCCATAATAATCTAAAATTAATGATAACATTATTTATATACATTTATCAATGGTCTCATCCAACAATCTCTCACTGGACAACAAATATATAAATGTATATATAACCTTGTAAGTGCTTTAAAGAATGCTATCATAGTATTGATACCCTTAAACAATCTCGTTCATTAATCATAATAGTATTGGATCAAAGTGGTCTTCGTTACAATTTACATAACTAAACCCATCAATGGTCACATATAAATGTATAATTAAATGACATGGATTAAACATGAATGTGTGGTTTTGAAATCAAGTTGATTGCCTACGAGTTCCTATTTATCTTGAAGTGAGATCAAACTTCAAATGAGTGCAAGTGATGATGGAATAAACTAAATCCTTAGTCTGTATAGAATAACATAATTGTTCTTAAACAAAACATAAAGCACCAATAAAACTCCCGCTAAAACAAATTATCACACCAATGTGTGTAGTATGATCATTAAAGACCTTGTGAGGAAATCCTTTCATGAGCGGATCCACTATCATGGAGTTTATCTAGATGTGCTTTATAAATATGTGTCCATTTGCACTATTCATTTAACAGCCTAAAATTTGATGTCAATATGCTTTGACTTAGTATAACTTCTACTGTTGTTTGAATATAACATTGATTACTTATTTTCACAAATGTAACACTCATGTTGGTAAGTTTCGCATTTAACCCTTTCTATCTAAAAACTTTACATTTTGGTCCTTAAGCTAGTACGTGGGGCATACTAGGTGGTACGCTTACCGTTCTAGCCTGATGTTGTGATCGCGGATCCCATCCACGTATGTTGGACGTACGTGGAGTACGCATGGCATACTAAGTCAGATTGAAACCCTAAATTTTAAGATTTGCACCCTATTTAAACCTTATGATAGCCTCATTTGGTCATGTTTAGCCAGCCTCTACCTTCCTTTGTCCTGAAATCGAAACCCTATTGTGTTTTTGTGAGTTTTGAGCCTTAAAGAGTGTTTGTGGGTGGTTTGTGAAGGAGAAGAAGAATATGACCATTTGGAGAAGTGTATTGAGCTTGAAGATCCGGATCCGGGGTTAATTCATCATTTGCAAGATTTTTGAGGTAAAAAGCTCCATCTTGATGATTCATGATGCTAGATCTAGTTATGTTGTTATTTTATACTTTTTGAGTCCTTGGAGTGATTGATGAGCTTCTTGACTCACTCCAGAAGTATTGGTGTTAGATCTAGGCTTCTTTTGGTCCCCTTGTTCATAAAAATGAAAGCTTTGTGGTGTATCTTGAACCATGCGTGTGTTAAGACCTTTGTTAATCTCTTTTTGAGCTCTTGAGCCCCATTAAGCCATGCATGTATGTAAAGTTTCCAACTTTACGTGATAAGTGGTCTTATAGAATCAGATCTGAGAGTTTGGCTTGAAGTCTCAATGGATTAAGTGCTTAACGGAGTGGGGTGGCCAACTAGGGAGTACGTTGGGCGTACCAAGCTGGTACATTGCGCGTACTAGCCTCAGAGGGTGTACGCTAAGCGTACGAGTTGAGTACGCACCGCGTACTCAGCAGGTGGGCTTCGGATTTGGGCTTCTCGGTTTTGGGCCCATGTTTGGACCTTAGGAGATTAGGGTCTTGTTGGAAAATCAGATTTCTATTTTTTGGCTGATGCTATTATATTGGGTTCTTTTGGTTGAAGGCCCATGAAGGGATTTAGGCTCAATTTGGAAGATTGGGTCATAATTGGGCTTTGGGTGACCATTTTAGAATTGGGCCTTTTGAGTAGTTGGTTTGGGCTTTGGCCTTGGGCCAAGTTAGGTAAAGGGTAAAATGGTCTTTTACCCTGGTTTAGACTCTTATTTATGGGTCGGAATCCAATTATTAATTGGATATTATTTTATGATGATAACGCGGGGATTTTATCGGACCAACAGACATAGATTTATCTGAGTGACTCAGCAGCTTGAGGTGAGTTTCCTCACTTTGTTTAGCGGGTCGAAGACACCAATGTCGGCCCATGCTTTATTATTTTAGGATGCTAGATGTCTACGTGACTCTTGCATGTGTATGCATTGGTATGTATACCGAGCGAGGCTCGATGTCGGACGAGGCCCGATGACTGTATTGTATGTTATTATCTTTGTGATTATCGCATGTGTTAGTATGATTATATGTTTATATGTGTATCGGGAGAGGCCTGGTAATTGACAGATCTGTAAATCGAGCGGGGCTCGATGCCGGGCGAGGCCTGAGGCCGGGTGGAACTCGATGTCGGGCGAGGCCCGAGGAAGGGCGGGGACCCAGTATGTGTTTATTACGTATAGTATGTGGTATTTTGGGGAAAATCACTAAGGTTTATGCTTACAGTTTTCAGTTTATGGTTAAGGTACTTCTGGTTCGAAAGGGAAGAGCTCGGGATGATTGCAGAGCACACACCACCTCATTCCACATTTTGTGATTTACTCTAATATTTTGTGATGTAGTGATACACTTTGATCCATCTTGGTT